GAAGGAAGGAAGGAAGGAAGGAAGGAAGGAAGGAAGGAAGGAAGGAAATAAGAGTGAAAATGGTCTACTTTATTACAAGTTCAAATTTCTATCTTTAAAAAAAGAAAAAAGAGGGGACATCACAGAAAGACACACACACAATTTATCTTAATACCAGTAACAGAAATCAGGAGCAAAAAAACCAAAAGCTATCAACAAAACATGTGAAGGCAGAAAGAGGAGCGGGCACCGACCTGCTGCTGTGGGTACTGCAAGCCTCCCAGGGCCCCAGGAGCCCGGCCCTGCATGCCAAGGGGATAGCGCTGTGCTCCTGGGGGACCATAGGAGCCTCCTGGGTATGGACTGCTCTGCTGCGGCTGGGAGTGGGGGTGGGTGCCCATCCCATACAACTGAGGTCTCTTCATCACCATTGGGTCCATGGGACTGCCCTGTGAGGAAACAAACAGAGAAGCACGTTTATAGGGGTCACTTCTAACAAATGCATCTTAATGCATGCAATACAACTACACAAATTTTGAGATTAAAGACCACAATTCAAAAAATAAAAACCCAGAACATTAAATTTAAAAAAATATATTTTTTACTAATGTTCATACAGGATCTTTAGATTAATAAGATCTGGAATAAACACTAAAAAGCATATAGAAAACAACACAATTTTAATTCAAAGTATCCTAGAACAATTACTTTTTAGACCTGAGTGTACAAATCTTGATGAAACCTTTATGGCCTCCTACACACCAAGTATTCACTGAAGTAAGAAGGAAGAATTTTAGGAAATGCAAAACAGTTTTAGATTAAAATTTCCAAGGATAATATGTGTACAGCAATAAGCTCTAGACTATGAGTCACAAGCTAGTAAACATCATACCAAACACACCAGTTCAAAGCTGGACTCCGAGTTGTATTTTTGGTCTGGTGAGTCAGTCCTTGAGCCTCAGGGCCAAGGCCATCCGGGAGAGGTAGGAACAGGGAGTCAAGCCGGGCCTGCACAAGCAGGGCTGACTGCAGCGGCAGAGCTATCACGGCAAGTCCCTCACAGAAGCCACAGGTCCACACAATTCACAGACAGACACTTCCTCCCGCTGATCCCCACTGTGCAGATCCCCACTGTGCGCCAGCCTCCCAGAACACAGAGAAGAAAGTATGTGGGGGATCCTCAGGAGCATCTGCAAACTAAATGGGAAGCCCGGCTCAGGGAGGATGGGCTGACACAGAGCTCCAACTTCAGACGCTAACCTGCCTGGCACGCTTAAGGAGACGGAAGCTGCTGCAGTCTGTATGATGCGGGCTCTGGGTTTACTGAAAAGGGTGGAGGCCAGAGCACGAGCAAAAGCCTGATAGGTCGTCTCAAGCTGTCTCTTCTGATGAGCTACTGGGTGCTTTTATAAAAGGCTGTCATCAGAGCCACCTGGCAGGACCGCTCCCTCAGGAAGTAGCTGAAAGCAGGGCCGGCTGCCACACTAGGCAGGTGAGACAGAGGTCCTGAACAGACAACAGTGATACAAGGCCGCAAGGCCAGACTCCAGGCACACACACAAAGACTTGGAGTCTGCAAAGTGACATAAGACAGGCTGGTGAGAAACAGATTAAGGAAAATGGAATGAGGAGAACTTGGGAACCAACAGTGATGTTGACAGGAAAGGTTAAGGTTCCTATTGCAAATGGCACAATGTACATGCTCATTAAACACAGGATGAACCGGCAAGTAAAGCCCATTAACTTTATCCAGATAGGATGGCGCATGGCCTGTATCCCCGCCCTTGGGAGACTAATGCAGAGGATCAAGAGTGTAAGAACAGTCAAATATAATCTGAAAGGCAATCAGGGAGAAGAAGAAGGAATAGACAGAATGACGGGTGAACTAAGAGAGCAATACCATTCAGGCAAAAGGGAAAAACATGGACCACAAAGAAAACCGGTGTCTGAAAGTGCAGTCAGAATTCCAGAGAGCATATTGTCACTGAAGCGAAGACAATCTCAGAGAGCCATGAAGCTGGCCTGGTAGCACACACAGTGAAGGTGGAAGGCCTGTACCAACATTTGGCTAGGACAGCTACCTGCCGAGCTCTGCCAAGAAAGCCAGACTGCCAGAACTGAAGCATGATGGTGGGTGACGAGAGGGAGGAGCAACAGCAAGCCCACAAAGCGCAGCTGAGGGAGGTGAGAACTGCCAGCTTCTCTCTCTCCACTTCCCACCACAAGACTGCACGTGGTCATTTCTCCTTCTCGGTCCCCCTGGGTCTCGCCATCCATTTTGGTGATTTGATGGCAGCCCTGTGCCCATGGTGATTTTAGCATCGAGGGTGAGCACTGTGTACCACTGAAGGCACCGGGATGAGCAGCCATGATGACGGTGGGTAAGCTCTGCTGGGGACAATGACATCATGATCCCAGAGCCAGGATTCAGGGATGCAGGCGGTGGGTACACTGCCCTTGTGGCAGATGAGAAGGAAACAGTTACCGGCAGGAACACTGTGAGATACCTGGCATCAGCCAGAGATGCTCCCCACCCCAACAGATCTGTGGGTATATCTGTAGATCTTGCATGGACCAACACAGAGGAACACAGAGGAAATGGGTATGCCTCTGGGCCCCACCACTGGCAAAAATTACAAATTTGGGGATTTAAACTATTACTTCTATCAAGAACTTTGGACCTAAAAAAAACTGAAAATGAACAACAGCATATGGTTTTATTCAATCAATACACTGCCATACATGCACGCGCGCGCACACACACACACACACACACACACACACACACACCAAAGACACACCACACATCACATCCATACCACACAGAACCACACAACACACACACATCACAGATACCATACAATACACACACACTGTGATTTTGCCTGGTCTCTTTCTGGTGCCTAATGTCGTCAAACAGCCTTAGTTCTCCTAGCCCCGGGAGCATGAACTGAGGAGTATGACACAGTTTGAACTCTAAGCACATGGGTGGCACAGTCCTGCTATATTCAGCTATAGGCTTCCAAAAGCTGACCTGGTAATTCTTTGCAAAGTATCCAGGCCAAAAGTCAACAGCTCATACATGTTCACGCTGGCAGTCTCTCTGTGTCCCTCTTTCAGAACACGCCTACACATAGGTTTATTGTAAAGATGCCTATGTAACTTTACCTTATCCATAAATGTCAAATTAAGAACCTAAGTTACTAAGGTTTTCTTGTGATTTTCTTCACCCAATTCCTTGAAACACAAACTTGGGGAAGGCTTGGCAATCCCCGCTCGGGAGAACCACATCTCAATCTACAATATATCTACACATGCGGATTAAACAAGAGCTCACAGAAAGAAAGAAGCCCTTCTTCTCTTCAGTCACTGATCGGGGAAAGTAGTCCCTTGCTGGTAACTATAAAAAGACTTGAGTAATATTCCATCACCCAGAAAGCTGACAAAATAATCAAACCTAGTACAAATATGTATTTGAACAACTAGGTATAAAAAGTACAAAAGGAGTGGGCGGGGCCCAGCAAGATGGCTCGGGGGGCAAAGCTCTTGCTCTCAAGCCTGACAACCCAAGTTGGACCCCTGGGACCAACAGACTTGTGCATGTTGCCCTCTGGCCACACACATGCTCCATCAGGTGTATGCACAGGCAGATGCACACACGTGCGCACACAGAGTTAGTGAGTAAGAGCCACCAGGTGCCTGGAGCCCCAACTAAGAGTTCAAAGAAAAATGGAGCACCCCACTGCTCCACAGCCCCAGAACAGGCTCGCCGTGGACAGCATGCACCTGGGAGGCTGAGGCGGGGCAGCTGCAGCTCACGGTCAGTGTAGGCTACAGAACAAGACCCTGGCAGCTTGGTTTTCCGAGAGATTTTGTTTGTTTGCTTGCTTTTTAGGGAAAAAACAGAAGACACACAACAGCTTTTCCCAGTTACATCTTAAGTTTTATCTTGAGTTTTAAATAACACTATTAGAATTACTGATGCCATAAAATAGTATATTGTGACCTATATATAAAATAAGGTCCATAAACTACCAATGAAAAGTAACAGCCTAAGATGCTGACAGCTGTGATTCTTAACTCTTAGAATGCTGGGAGATATTAAGCATCTGAGCTGGAGGGGTGAGGGTGGCATACATACTTAAATACCCAGGAAACAGAAGCAGGCAAATCTGTCTCTCTGTGTGAGTTAGGCCAACCTGTGCTGCATAGGAAGTTCCAGGTCAGCTTTCCAGGGCTACATAGTGAGACCTTGTCCCAAAAATTAAAAAAGGAAGGCAGGGAGGAAGGGAGGGAGGGAGGAAGGGATGGAAGGGAAGAAGGGAGTGATCTACAGTGCGCTGATGTCCCAAATTTATCAGATTCAGGGGTTCAGAACCTCTCTCTTGGAAACTCATTCAAAGCCTTTCCTGACACTGTCAAATAACAACAAATGTCATTCATTTCCAAGACATCCCAATACATTCTCCCATGATCACAAGTCATCCTGGTTAAGGAGTCCACAATGAAACCCAGAGCCTTGGAACCAAAAGGACCCTCATCAAGGCTGAGACATTCGAAGCCCCCTCCGGTGCCAGCACCAGGAAGTGCTTCTTCTGTTTTACCATGACAGCGTCAGTTTCCCGTCATGTATGCCCACTGCGTATGACTTTGAACCTCTGGTAGATTATCTGAGGCAGCTGCAGCTATTTCCCTTCCTGAAGTAAGAAATACATCAAGCTTGTTCTGTGACTGTGGAGCCGTTTGTTTGATTCCATTCTTACCCCTTTGACACAAAAGCTGCCATTTTAGTCCTTGTTCGCTTTCTTCCAGAAGCTGCACAGGTATTAATGTGGCCTAAAATCTCTGCTTTCTCCATAACCATCCCTCATCTTGACTAAACCCCACTTACCCCATCTTATGCTGGACAGCTGGATTATATAGGATAGTTGAGCTCTGTGGCACGAATCTGTGTATCTCTGTTTATTTTCTATTTGTTTACCTCTATTTATATCAGTTCTTAAACTGATGAAACCCTGTTTAGATTCTTAAAGGATCTCTAACATATAACTGCATTTCTAGCTGACACCAGCCATCAGTGAGATCAATGTGCCCCTAAGTCTTCAACCACATCATTAAAAGGGAAAATAAAGGCTGGGAAAGCACAGGGCAAGAACTCCACACAAATCCCTGTGTGGGATCTGGAGCACACATCCCTCTCTCCCTTCACTACTCAGTAAGCAAGCCCACCATGCCTGCCATCATCTCCATCTTCTCAGACACAAAAGAAACAGCCCAATGTTCAGAAACAGAAGCAGAGGCAAAAGATGTACAGGAAATGCCACAGGACCTAGAGTCAGACACAGCTGGTAGGACCTTGCCTGTGTTGTTTGTAAGTCACACAAAGTTGGGTGCTGTCTTTAAGAGTATAGTCACACATTCTCCAGGGTTGCTGGGGGTTAAATGAGAT